TGACAGCTGCATTCTCAGTCATTCACAACCTAAACAGGGTTGGCATGCAAATTGTTTTGAAGCCCTGCCTTTTTGCTGTAGTTGTCATTATTTTCTTTTGTGCTGTCTGTTCATTCCTGTGCATTCAAGGGGTTGCTGGCTTAGTCTGATACTGTCACCATGGGAGAAACACTGCAGTTCCTAAAACTGGAGGCTGAAGTTCTTGGAACCCTCTTGCTCTAAGGAGCAGCAGGAGAAGTGGAGGTTGCTGCTCCTGGCTTCTAATAGATACCATTTAGTAACTAAATATTTAGAAAACAATCCCCCTCCTGACCTTCCCTCACTTTTTGCATTAATGCAAATAATAATTGGTCTTCATTCTTATGTGCTAGTGTAACGTTGCCATGTTCACACTGCCTATGGACAGCGTTTCTGCAGTCTGTAAATACGTGTACTAAAACTTATTTTCTCTTTTTGTTTTGTTTTGTTTTGTTTTACAATATTTGTTAGATTTGCAAATCTTGATTTTGGGAGGATCAATAGTACGACAAGATTCCTTAAAGCACCTAGAACTGTCTTACTGAACTCTGTATGATTATGCAAACTGTATGATTATGGGATGATTCCATCTTCTAGCAAATGAAGGAAAAGAAGGTTATTAGGAGTAGTCAACATGGATTCACCACAGGGAAATCTTTCTTGACCAATCTGGTGGCCTTCCATGATGTCATCACTGGCTGAGTAGATGGGGCTAGAGCAGTGTCTGTTGTGTACCTTGACTTCAGCATGGCTTTTGACACTCAGTAGGAGGTATGGGACAGACAAGTGGACAGTGAGGTGGATTGAGAACTGGCTGAATGGCAGAGCTCAGAGGGTTGGGATCAATGGTATATAGAATGGTTGGAGGCCTGTAACTAGCGGGATCAGTGCTGGGTCTGATCTTGTTCAGCTTCTTCTAAATGACATGCATGAAAGGATGGATTTCACCCTCAGCAAGTTTGCTGATGATACAAAGCTGGGAGGAGTGAATGGCACACAGAAGGCTGTGATGCCATTCAGCAAGACTAGGACAGGATGGAAAGCTGGGTGGACAGGAACTTGTGAGGTTCATCAAAGGCAACTGCAGTTCTGCACTTGGGGAGGAATAACTGCACACATCTGTACAGGTTAGGGGCTGGAAAGGAGCTCTGCAGAGAAGAACCTGGGTGCCCTAGTGGACAACAGGTTGGCCATGAGCCAGCTGTATGCCCTTGTGGCCAAGAGGGCCAATGGGATCCTAAGGTGCACTAAAAAGAGCGTGACCAGCAGGTCAAGGGAGGTGATCCTCCCCCTCTACTCTGTCCTAGTGAGGTCATATTAGTCTAAATGTCTGCTGTGTCCAGTTCTGGGCTCCTCAGTCCAAGAAAGAAGGGGGATTTGTAGAGAGTTCTGTGGAGGGCCACAGAGACAATGAGGAGCCTGGAGCATAGCTCTTATAAGGAATGGCTGAGTGACCTGGGAATGTTCAGTCTTGAGAAGAGATCTCTTCAATGCTTATAAATATCTAATGGATTGGAGTCAAGTGGATGAGGACGGGGTCTTTTCAGTGGTGCACAGCGATAAGACAAGGGGCAATGGGCAGAAAGTGGAACATACAAAGTTCCATACCAACATGAGAAAAAACTTCTTTACAATGAGGGTGACAGAACATTTGAACAGGCTGCCCAGAGATGTGGAGTCTCCTTCTCTGGAGATATTCAAAGTCTGCCTGGACACTTTCCCACCTGGACAAATTGTAGAGTACCTGCTTTAGCAAGCGGGTTAGACTTGATGATCTCCAAAGGTCCCTTCCAATATCTATGATTCTGTGATTCTACCTGTGAGTGCTGTGGCATATACAACATTATTCTGTGGAGATCTGTCACCAAACAGCCTAGGCAAGTAAGACCAGACAACAGTGACTAAAGACAAAGTGGAAATGCAGAGGTAAAAGTGATGCCTGTAGAGTGTGATATTGGGGCACGAAACATCATCTGCACAAGTGACTTTCAATCAACTCTTTGGGCTGAGAACTGCAGGACAAGGGGAAATGGTTTTAAGTTGAGGGAGGGGAGATTTAGGTTGGATGTCAGGGGGAAATCCTTTACAGAGAGAGTGGTGAGGTGCTGAACAGGCTGCCCAGAGAGGTTGTGGATGCCCCGTCCCTGGAGGTGTTCAAGGCCAGGTTGGATGGAGCCCTGGGCAGCCTGGTCTAGTATTAAATGGGGAGGTTGGTGGCCCTGCATGTGGCAGGGGGGTTGGAGATTCATGATCCTTGAGGTCCCTTCCAACCCTGGCCATTCTGTAATTCTGTGACTTTCTGAATAGAGGATTGCACAAATTGAAGAAAACAGCAGTATCCTGCTTAGGTGTGTAGCTCAGGAATTCTGTCTGTAGCTGAAATGTAATGAAGTTTAGTGTGGAGGATGTTGCTTCCTGATACTTTCCAGTGAAAAAAAGGACAGGAAAATGCGACAGTTATATCATTTCAGTATCTGAGCACCTCACAACTATTTTTTCCATGTGTAAATTCTGCTCTTTCCATATATATATGATATCTCTGAAATATGGAATTGAATCATCACAAAATCCGGGTACAGAGACCTGGGTTCTCAAAGTCACCCAGAAACCTGCATCCCGCTGATATAAATGAGAAGAAAAAGTGAAAAAGACTCTTCAACTAAATGAATTGTTGCAGATTACTAAAAATCCGTGCAGACAGTGATATCACAAAGTCTTTCACCGTGTATCCACCATTTTACCAAGTGGGCCAATACTGATTCCTAACTGTACTTTAGAAGGACTTTATAATTGTAAAATATGTGAAAGAAAAGCAATCAGAATGAGTAATTCCTAGTTGTCCTAGGAACACGATAGTAATGAACTGCTGCTCATAACTTCTTTTTCAAGGTAATTTTCTCTGAGGCCACCCATGGGATTCTGTGAAAGCCTTAGTTGACTGACTCACTTTAGCAGACCAGACAGCTGCTGAAATCTCTAAAAAACTCAGCTCTTAAGGATTCATTTCTTGTATTAGAAGAGACAGGTGAGTACAGATCTGTAATATTTGCCTTACCTGAATTGCAATATTGTAGTCTATTGATTCTGTCAACTTTTTACCCTCTCCCCCGTTGCTGCTAGTGTCTAGCTTTAGACACTTTGACTCAATAAGGCAGAATGTCCAAGATTTTATGTTCTAATACACAATTACGTCTTCAAAGCATGCTAGCTTCTAGAAAATACCCCACAAAGGGTCATTTCATTAGACACCTGTCTGTGCTTTCAGGAGCTGGATCACTGTCAGCATCTATGCTCTTGAAGGAGTGGGAGCAGCTTCTCTTCCTTTATCTGGCACCTCAGGTAGGACAAACTTGGATCATAAACTCAGAAGATAGATCTACATGACATGCCTGCAACATATACCCTTCACAACCATGGCATTTAACAATTCTGAGCATACAGAGTCATCCACACAGAACCTGAGAAAATACTTACGTGATGTGAGCAACTTGATCTAGTAGGTGTCCCTGTCCATGGCAGAGAGGTTGAACTAAATGGTGCTCCCAATCCAAACCATTCTATGATTTGTTTTCCTCCTAGAGAGACTTGGCAGACCTGGAAATAAGGAATTAATCAAGAACCTTGTTATACTTGGTAGACTTTGGTGGCATTCTTAATCACATGAGATGGTCAGAGGACTCACCTCCTGATTTGAGAAACCACGTCCTTTTACAACAATCTGCTTTATTGCAAATTACTTTATTCTGTGTTAGCAGAATTATACTGTAGTAACATACAGGGAATACCAGTAGCTTTAAGGAAAGAACAATTTTGTTGTCTGGCATGAATTTCTTCATTTATGGCAAAAGAAGAGGATGAGGCACACAGTTCTTAGATGGAGTTAAGTGGGCTATGGACAGTGGAGCTACAACTCCTTAGAAGCAGAAAGCAGCCATAATAGAGAAGCAGATTTCGTATGAGTCACTTGTCATTGGTAGAATCCTGAAAGCACAGAACAAGGCACTGAAGATCCACTTGGAAATTTTCTGTTTTAGAAACACTGAATCATAGTATTCTTATAATCATAGTATGGTTTGAGTTGGAAGAGCGCTTAAGAATCATCTGGTTCCAGTCCCTGCTATGAGCAGGGGCACCTTCCACTGGACCAGTTTCTCAAAGCCTTATCCAGCCTGGCCTTGAACATCTCCAGGGCTGGGCATCCACAACTTCTCTGGGCAGCCTGTTCCAGTGCCTCATCACCCTCTGAGTGAAGATTTTCTTCCTAAGATCTATTCTAAATTTCCTCTCTTTTAGTTTATAACTATTTATAACTATTTATAACTCTTGTCCTATCACTGCAGCCCCTGATAAACAACCCCTCCCCATCTTTCTGGTAAGCCCCCTTTAACTACTGGAAGGCTGCTATAAAGTCACCCTGAAGCCTTCTCTGCTCCAAGCTGACCAATCTGAAATCTCTATCCTAGGCTGAAATCAACTTCTAGGACTGTCATTTGTCAGTGAAAATAGGCAACAAAAATGCATATATCATTATTCTGGAAATTACATAGGAAGGAGATCAAGAAGCTCTGGATTGTCCTACCCACTCAGAACAGTTCTGATGGCTCTCCGTCTAACAGCAACTAGCAATGAGTTTTTAAAAGGCAACAGCCCATGGAAAAGAAGATCAGCATGTAACTTATTTGTCTATTGCAGTCTACTGCTTCTGTCCTGAATTCTTTGCATGTGTGAGCCCTGTTCATCAGAAACACCAAAAATGATGTAGTTCAGTATGTTGGGCTCTTTTTGATGTTACATTTTCTATGCTCTAGGGGGAATAAGAAATGCTAAATTTTACTTATTAATAAGGATCAGCACGGGAAAGATCTCCTAGTACTGAACACTAAGTCATGAGATTTATGAAAGCAGTCTTTTTGCAACGGTATGACAAATTCTATATGTAAACAGATCACTCCCACCCCACAAAAGCAGAGATATAACATGCCTTTTGTTCAGAGATTACCATGTTTAATTATTCTTTTTTTTTTTCAATAGCTTAATCATGTATTCAGTTAAATAAAGTAATAAACAAAAGTGTTTGAAGTGAGGCAATATTGTCTTTATGTTATTTTTCAGTTGTGATCAGGTATCTGTGGGACATGGAAAACTAAAATCAAACAACATACATCATCTTTAATTCTCTAACAAAATTTAGTGCCAAATTCTGCTCTCAGGTATGTTTCTATAAAGCAGGATCCATCATGGCACGACAGAACAACGGCATATTTCTGGGTTTAGAAAGGGCAAAGGGTAAGAAGTTGTTCTCACCTCTTAACGGCTCGGCCCACACCAAACACTGAGCTGACATGCACCATCCTGCTGACCTGGTGCGAGCAGGTGCAGCAACACTCATTGCAAACAAACTGATCAGATTTCACCAGATTGCAATTTGGCTAAGTGACTTTAATTGGCCTGCTTCAGTAACTGAGAGCACAGTTTGGCTCCTTTCACGGTGAGAAGGCAGCCAACCAAACACAACTTTCACCAGGCCCCAGATTCTGGTCCCAGATTTCAACATACACTATTACATCGATCAAACGAACCATAGAAGTTACTTATCATTTTACTGTTCCTTAACACATTTCACACAGTCCTGCAGCGAGCAGAATCACAGGTGAACCTCAGAACATACAGAGAGCACAACTACTACACTGGACATGAAAAGGAAATTTTATTAAACATGTTTACATAATATGAGTTGGAAGTTCATTTAAAAGCACAGGGGAGTGTTAAGACAAGTGGTCAGAATAGAAAGTTACTATCGAATTATAACTAGTTGGTTTTTGGCCACTAAGACAGAACAGGATCTAGTAGTAGTGCACCAATGCTTGAGTTCTTCCTGCTCAGCAGGTCGAGCAGTACCAATCTGTGCCCTATGGAAAGATGGGCAGAGTAATTCCAACGTGTTGAGTAATAATAAATAGTTCACGTGGTGCAGGCAGTATGTCTATGAGTTAAAACCTAGTGTGTACACAGTTTCTACATGTGTTACAACCCCACAGTAGGAATCTACACCAAAATATTTATTAGAAGGAATTTGGTCCATACTACATCACGTTTTCCATAGGGTAAAAAATAAAGTCCATCTATAGACATTTAGCACCAGACTCACAGACCTAGCCTGGCTAAAACCTGCAAAATGTCTATAAGAAAAATGGATGGCTTAGATTTCTTGGTTACTTCAGTATTGTAATTACGAGCAAACTGTACAAGTACATGCAACATACAAGCTGGCCTATGTGGAACTAACATACATTATTAAATAACCTTTTTCATCTCTTTTTACAAAACGTGCATGCAGCTTTGAACAGTTCCAAGTCATGCTGCTCTATTTGTGTGACCACAAAATCGAATGGCCTGTAAAAGGAGGGGAAACATAACAATGCACCTGCAGAATCTGCAGTTTTTAGCACATTTACAGGATATCACAAGGGATTTCAAGGCCAAGAAGAACTCAAATGAATAAAAAGCAAATTGAAATTTGACTTTTTTTCTCCAAAAAGTAAGATATCTTGCGTTAAAAAATCAAGCCTTGTGCTTGCATCAATCTCAAAGAAATGTAAACTAAAATTTGATAAAAACATTAGTAAGTGCAGAATATTTCAACTGGAATTTCCAGTGAAACACTGAACAACTCATACCATGCTCTATCCAGGGCAGACAGGTGTGTCTGAAGCGACACACGTGAGAGAAGCCTGGGTACAGCTGAAAGTGTCATATGCTCAATCCATTCCTGGTCAACGTTTTGGGAAGTCAAATATACATTTATACACAGAAACGTAAGTATTCCCTCTCCATTTCTAGGAGGAAAACTGCATTACCAGTAACATATTCTATGTCAAAATTAAGAATAAAGCTGCTTTATACCAGTCCCCAGCATTAGTTGCAGAATTCTTCAAAATTCTTCCATGCAAAACATCATAAACGTAAAAGTTAGTATATATAATGCAAACATATCTGCTTTTTACAAAGAAAAAGTGGCACTGTGATGATTAGTTACTTTTAAGAATATAACCTCGGTTGCTCATTTGTTCTGGGTTCCCACATGGGAGACTTTGCAGCACCAGAACCAAGAAATGATTTGAACGTGCTGGAATCATAACTGGCTGCTGAACACTTTAACGATGCTTACAGAGATAAGCTTCAGCCCTTTTTTTTTGTTTGGTTTAGAAAAAGAAAGGAAGGGTCTCTGTTAGCGTTGTGAGGACTTCTACAAAACTAGCAGAATCACATGGCAAAAAACTAGTGGAAGTAACAAATACAGAAAAACTTCTGAAACACCAGGAAGTTAACACTGCTTGAGGGCTCTGTCAAAATGTGAAAAATACAATGTTGTTAACAGAGTGAGAGCTTCCAGTTTGGCTCATATTTGACTTAATTTGAATCTAAAGATCCCTCTCTCTCTCTCTCTTTTTTAATTTTTTAATATTTTTTTGTTTGGCTTTGGATCATTAAAAGCATCAGAGATAGACAGACAGTTTGGCTGTATGTTATATACTTTTGTTCCATCAATGTAAGCCGTCTCTTGACAAACAATTCAGACATATTTTTGGATAACTACTACAAGCAAAAACAGAAGTGATTGTCTCTCTCCAACAGTGTTTTTGATCGTGTGAATATCTGGTTCCAATCGTTATCCTGGGTGATGTTTTATTAGGCAGCACCTGCTTCTATGACCTAATGCAGGGAGGCCCAGTTGAACTTTCCAGAGACGACTGGGAAGCTCTGCGTGTCAAGGGAGTCAAGGTTGGATCCACTAGTGATGAAGGTGGGAATAATTTATACCAGCCTATTACCACACTGGACAGATCCAATTCCTCCAGAAGGATCTGGGCAACACCCATGAAGCATTTGTGATCCATTCGGCCATAGTCTCCCCAGACTATTACCTGTAAGAACACAAGATACAGGTTCAGCCTGGTTCAAAGAGCCATGCTCACTCCTGCTGTATATCACGATGTATATAGTAAGGAAAATGTTTTTCTTAAGGGTGAATGATTGCTTCCTCTTATGAGAGAACTTAATGGCAGGACAGGAGCAAGAGTCAACAAAAGAGAAATGTTTAATACAGACAGACATTTCACAGGTCGGAAATCACAAGCCATGAGGATGTGTTTGCTGATATTTAGAAAATTAAATACTTAGTGAGTTGGAATGGGTTTGCATATCTTAATTAAACTTAAGTAAACATACAAGTGCTTTACCAAAAGACAGCCTAAATTGGATTTTGGAAGGAACTGACCTGAAGGACTTTACCCTGTGGACTTTCATCAAAAACTAGTGTCTGTTGGTACAAAGGATCAAGGGTCTTCCGTGCAATTCTTGTCTTCTTCTTTGCTATACATGCTCCATTTTCCAATAAATAAACTTTGACATATGGAGCTGCAAACAAAACACCATTAATTTTATGTTTGGACTTAAAAACTTCTATGTTGCACATCTGAGCTGGAGGACAGATGCCATAAAAGGAAGATGAGTAGAAAGAACACGACATGCTATGTTTGTTGTATAGTCTGAATACAATTACACTTGTTAAATAAACGACACAGACCATAAGGAACCCATTTCATTTTTATAACCCTTAAATTTAATGACCCAAGATGGTACTAATAACAATTCTGTTTCACTGTTTCATCTGTCATTCTGAAAACACTTTCCTTTGCCAGGAATTAACTGTCTCTGATAGTTAAGCTGGAGTCACTATGTAGGGGTCAGAGATACATCACAACAGAAGACTTAAATATTTCATTGAAAGGAATATTTAAAGCTAAGTCATTCAGATAACACAGACACTAACTGCTCTTTTGTCTTAGGCTCCTAATGAGGTTGCAAAGTACCATTTTGCCAAAGCGCTATCTAAAACAAGAGTTCCTGTTGTTATAGTGAGCAGTGCTTGTAGCAGTTATTATATATCTCTCCTAATGAAGATTTCTATAAATAACTAGGACATTAAAAATATTTTTATAAAATGATATTTCATTCATTATACAGATTACTGACACAGGCACTACCATAACATGCAAGCATACAGAAGACTATGACTTGCAGGTCTACTAAGCTGTTTGTTCAGAGCACAGTCATCTGCTCTTCATCTCATTTTGGTGGGGAACAAACACAAAGGACTTCACGTGCATTGATAAAGCCTTTCTGAGAGATATGACTTGCCTAAAACACACAGGAATACTTCTACAGATGTTCTGTCCAGAATGGGTTTTGAATTGCTAAAACTAATTCCTTGAAAAGTGACATGCAATTAGCAGATGCATGTGGTAGGAAGTTGACTGATAACAAGGATATATGTCCATGCATACATTCCTTGCAAATAAAATGTATTTACATCTAACAAGGTGCTTAAAAAGCCTCCAATCCCCAATTCACCAGCATATTTCATATTCCTGATTTCTGTTCACGTATTGTTTATTTTTCCCTTACCTGGGGTAGATTTGGAGCCAGGTTTTTGTGTGAGGCCACGGGCTCTAATGACTTCTACTTCTAACTGGCCCTTCTTATCCACCATGCCAATCTGGATATCACCTGAGGGAGAAGAAGAACATTTTCTGAGAAGCAGAACAGCCTGGGAGATATGAGAATAAGAAAGAGAAACAGAAAGATTAGTGTTCTATTGGTCTGCTCCATGAGTGTGCTTGTCACCTCTCTCGATCCCTTAAATTTATCTGTCCTTAACCTAGAACTAAATGGGTCTGTGACCCACGGGGGCAAGCAAATTTACAGCAACATTTCAGTATAAACACCATCCTTTTCATTTCTCATTATGACATTATGACTTCTCACACAGGACTGCTGCTCCAGCAGCACTTCCCTAGCAGTGGTCCCAAATGCCAACAGCCTAAAACCCAAATTCATGTTCAGAAATCCCCTCAGCTGGACATTTCTGTCTCCAAGCTGAGATGTAAGAGCTAGGCATGCAATGTCTCCTTGTCTGATTAACAGGAAGGGGAACTGCTGATTGAGGTTCACTTTGAACACTCTGTACCTCAATTGCCTGAGGAGATCCTTTGTGTAAGGCAAATGCACCGACCAGTTGAGGCACACAAAAACAGCAGCTTCAGAGAATGATGCCCTGTCCTCCAGGAACTCAAAAGAAGAGTACTGCAAAGAGCTCTAAGAAGTATAAATGTGTCAATTATTCTATTTTTATCAATACAGCATGCCTATTTTTGTTGTGAACGAAATAATGCAGATTGCTAAAACCTGCTTGTGCTAACAGTCAAACTGCTGTTTCCCTGCATGAATCTGACAAACTACATTTCCTGCAGAAAAATGAAACTCCTTGTTCCAAGACCAATAAAATGCGTGGAAAGTTACCTTAACTATGGGCTGATGCTCAAAGCGTTGGCCCTGTATGATTCCATCTACTCTGGAATCAGCTGGGTAGAAATCTAACAGGCCACTTAGAATCAATTAGAATCAATACAGCATGTAGCTTTGTGACTTCAGTGCAGATAAATGAACTGTCCATATATCCATGCCACATCTGAATATGGAAATATTTTAGATTTGAACTCTGAATTAAAAAAAAATACAAATAGATAGTCCTGAACTACAGAATTAGAGGGTTCTAGATTTAGAATTACAGCATTTTGAAATGAAGCAGGCATGAGATTTTCACAAGCTTGCGCAATGGAAGAGCAGTGGTTATACTTTGCCACATGAGGTATGACAGAGTAGCAGGGAAGGTTTTTACCTGTCAGACTTTGCTTGAATAAACATGTTTTGTGTTTCACTAAAAACAGTTTAAAGGAAAATTCCAAGAAGCAGTATTAAGACTACATCTCAGTATCGCACAACCAAATAAAAATATGGTACAGGAAACCAGAAGGGGGAGCAACAATCCGGGTATTTGTCAATGGCAGCAGGATACAGAAGATGTGAAAGTTGTAAAAAGTGTGGTAAAATACTTTTGGGGGGCTGAACCCTGAGCCCTTGGTAAGTAAAACAGTTCAAAGAAGTGAAAATGCACATGACTCAAGGAATCTGCAGAAAAATAGGAGATTAAAGTAAAGATGAAAGAAATTTAGACCTCTGTATTCATACCAGCAGAGCCACTTCGATTTAGAAAATATTCTCACTGATATTTCTGAGAGTGCTGTACTGAAGCACTAGGCTCTTACCATTTCCAGCATGTTTAATGGAGAACATCAAGGACTCCTCGCTTACAATCCTAAACATGTAGTATTTGAAGCATGCCTAAAAATTGTCCAAGTACAAGCAAAAAGATATCAAACCACTCCAAAGACACTTGTACAGTACTGTGCTGCTGCACAGCACTTATACCCTATACATAATCAAGATACAGCTAACACTAATATAGGGTTATCCAGACTGGAGTGGAGTGGAGACTGGTTTGGAGTACTGAGAAAATTGCAGATAGATCCAGAAAACTGCTGTAGAAAAGAATTTTGTCATTAGAAACACTGGCTTTATCAATAACTGATAACTGGGCATTGCAGATATGGGTAGAAATTTCAAGTTCTGGGGTTACTTTGGGATGAACCAAGCTTGGATAAGTGCAGAGTTTGGCAAGAAACCATCTTCATATCCAGTATAATCTGTGGTGATCAAATACAAATGCTGAACAGCTGAGATTTCACAGTGATTGGAGAACTCACAATAACTGCCCAGTGTGAAGGAAAGTGCAACTTCGATCTTCAAACTGCAAGTGAGATTAACAGACACTTAACATCTGCAGCAATATTGTTTCTCAACTCATTCTGGATGCAAGCATGCTAGAAATATCAGTAGGAACACCAGTGACCAGGTACAGGATTTTCGTGTTTACAGTGAAGGAAGCCACTTCATAAAAGCCTTTTTGGTGCTGCAGTCTAGCAGTGAGTTTGATAGGTACTGTTTTAGTATCATCTAACATATAACATAATATTCTTACCCATGGCAGGAGTTGCTAGTGTTTGTCGGCCTACTAATTGTGCAGGTCCAAGTCCATCAAGGAAATCACTGAACTGACTGTCAGCTCCCAGCCGTACCCCAGGAAATATTAAGCTGAAAGAAAGTAAAAGCGGATTAAGCATAAGATCAGGATTAATTTCCATTGCCATACAGTATTTCCCTGCAAAATACTTCTTACACAAGGCAAGCAGCACAGAATGTGCAACCACAAAATGTTCTGCAGTGTCATGAAATGCAGAAGCCTATTACTTTACATTCCTGAATGCCTGATTTAATTTTTAATACAATTTTGTACTGATAGACATATCCAAATGTCATCTGCATCAGTTAGGATAAACAAGGAAAAGCAATGCAAACATTAAATGCACTGATTGTTGCAGCTGAAGCCATAAGCTGGCACATAATACTAGTGGGGATGAGACCTAAACCTAATGTCCACCCTATTTCAGGACTGAACTGCATTCACACAGACTATATGTGCATTTCCAAACTGCTTTCTATTGAACGCATATACATTCTCCAAACAATAATAAAACAAAGAAGTGAAAAAATTCAGAGGAAGAATAATCCATAGTGGGGAAACTCAGCTTCAGCTTCCCCATCACAGTCAGCAGGAACAGAAGAACGGAGTCTGAACTAAGTCTGGATAGCATCTTACCCAGTAGGCTATGCACCATTCTGCATCTATTTCTCCCAAAGGAAATTTACAGTTAGACTCGATAAAAAAGTAACACAATTTCCTATTTAAAGTACCTAGTGTGAAAAGCTTTGTTTTCCAGATATAAGATTTATCTGATCCATACAATTCACAGCAAGCCACAGTTAGTGGGCTACAAAAAGTCCATTCCTCTCTTCAAGACTAACTGTTCTCACAATGTTTGCATAAAGATATTGACTGTCTGTAACTAAAACTGACCAGAAAATATCAGCACAGTGCTTTTCATTAGAAAACTTTGATTTACCAAAAGATGAGATTTTCACAGAAGTTTAAAGAAATCTTATTTAAGTTTTCTTTAGGTGGAGGAGAAAAAGAATGTTAGAAGTCTCCAGTTCAGCCATTAGCCTCCCAATACTGGCAGTAACCTAATTCCAAGATTCAGGTTCAAGCTTCATGCTATGCTTGTCAAACCATCCAGTCTGCTTCTTCCCCCAGTGGCACTACTCACCACTCCTGCAGCTGCAAGGAACAGTTTCTTGCTTGTTTTTTGTCATTTTTCCCCAAAATGCCTGTTACATTTTGCTGAAGAATTGCTAGGATTGAAAATCATCAGTGTTCTCATTTTTTAGACACCTCTAAGTACACAAATAACAACAAATGGTATGAAGTACTCTATTCTCTTTAATAATCATGAATTGCAACTCATAAAACTCTAATTATGGCTCGAGCAGAAGAACATAAGGTGATACCTGGGGTATCTAGTGTAGGACTATGTGATTTCAGCTGAGCTATTTATCTGCTCGTTATTGTAAAATGCAGGATGAGGCATGATACTACCTATACATCAACTATGTGACTTTGCAATTAATAAAAAAAAAACACACAGGGAAGGGAAAATTGCCCATGCAAATTCAATACAAACACCTCCTAATTGCCATAATTACCTGCCTACTGTAAGGGTGAACTGCAAACAAAATACTATTCAAGTAACCAAAGTCAAGCTCCTGTGGATGCCTCATCAAAATGATGGGAATCTCATGGGAGACAGGATAAAAATTTCAACCCACAGTACTACATCCTGTTAAAGGTATCTTTCTCTTCCTTCATTGCAACAAACTATATTTAACTTTTTAACCTGAGTTTTATTATCTGCCTCTTTTGGACCATTACCCTCAGCTTCCCTTTAGAGCCTCTGTTAAATATCACTGTTTTTCTCACTTCACTAGCCTCACCGTTTCTTTTCTCTTGCCAGGGACTGGAATAGGGATGTAGAGACCAGGGACAGTGGTTAAGGTTAAGGTCAATTGCAAACTGAGTCAGAGAACAAACTGCAGGCATCCTGATCATCAGGAATCAACCAGAAGCCTTTGTAATTTTATCAGTGCGGGGCTCCCATCTCTTCAGTACTGCTCACCAGAAAAATAGGCCAGTCTCCAGTCCCTTAAAGGAGGAATTCTTCATTGCCATGATGAGTGGAGCCTTTCAGACTGGCAGTTTATTGTAGAGAGATGAAGGATAGGAAGATGGAATGCTGAAGGGCAAAGGTAGTGCCCTATCATCTGATGATGGACTAATTGCACCTTTACACTTCTCCTTGCCACCATCATGGCTGTCTCTTCATCCCTCTTAAAAACTATCAGTTGTGTAATAGTGTAAGCATTTAAAAAGACGAAGCCAAAGAAGTCCCTATTGTCCATTTTTTATCTGGTCTGTAAAACAGAATTCCATACCTTCAGTTTTCACTTTTGCACGGGACAACTTGTAAGAATTCTCTGGTGACCACTGAGCCTTTGCACACAAGCTAGAGTCCTATTGGTATCTGTAGGGATGCTACAGTATTTATTCACACTTTTGTGTCTAACTGGCTTTTGTTATCCTTTCCTAGAGGCTCAGTCATTCAGCAGTGAATGAAAACAGCTGCCCATTTACCCACAGTTGTGTGCACGGTTTTAGCTGATGGTGCGGTTGAAGTCTGGTTTTACAATTCTCAATAAGAGACTTGGACCAAGTCCAAACTAAACTCTCTTTGTATACAGTACTACTGAACACAGTTTCATATCACAGGGATTTACACACAACATCTGAAGTTTAACTCCAAGTTAATCCAAACACAACTCAAAGACGAGTTTTGTTTTGAATAATGCAGTCTGAATTCAGTTCTCTTTTGATGAACAAAATGTCTCAGAGGATAGCAGGGAAAATATGAAACCCAAAGAAGTCCTCTTTCAATCTCGATCTTCAACATACTACATGCCCTGAATTGTTTAGTTTTGCTAACATTTTCTCAAGAAGAAGAATCTGCACACATACCTAACCCCTCAGCCCAAGCTGGGACCTCTGTTCACATCCCAAGCTTTCTTTAAAAGACAAGAGGTTTTTCTTATATTACTGCACTTTTAATGCCACTTACTTGCCCTCAGAGCTGTAACTATTTATGCTGCCATCAGTGGATTCTCGACTTGGCTGTCGAACCATACGACTTCTCATTTCTGCAGCCATTCCTGTCTCTGTGCTTCTTTGTATCGTGCTCTTTAGCTTCTTATTGCCAGCCTCTGAAAGCAGAGAGAAGTAAAAAAAGTGTTAGAGTGACAGTCTAGCACAAAGCCTTTCCTTGCAGTTTTCTGCAGCAGAAGTAATGCAATGTCTCTTCTTCAGCTGAAAACTGGTCATGGTTTCTCTTTAAAAGGGCTGACACCCTCTATTAATGTGCTATTATTAATCTTCATACAACTAGAAAGTAGACAGGATGACTCTGATAGTGCATGTTAACCATAAACTTGTAAGATATACATCACCACATTAGGTTAGGGGAATACAAATTAATGACTGTCTCAGGAAAAAAGAAGAAACAAAATTCTTCGTGCATTCAACAGGAAAATGTTAAGCACTAAAACATTTGGTATCAAAAACATAATAACATATTTTCATACAGCAAAATCCCATTTTTCACCACAAAGTAATTAGTGAGTGCTACATAATTTCTAAGCAGAATAGTCTTTTAGGAATCCCTTTGGAAGACTATGAAGTCCACAGAACTTGAGTTTGCAAATGAATGCTACAAAGTGCATTTCATGAAATCATTGAGTAGCTCGATATGTTTGGAAAAGTTTTCACCACAGTATTTTTAAATTTAAATTTAAAATCCTTTGAGTTCCACTTGTAAGCTTCCAGGTCATCTTGGAGCAGGGAGAGCTTCCAGTCCCTTCCAGGTGCAGTTCCGAGCTCCTGATGTAACAGCCAATTTACAATGAATTCTACTCCAAATCTTATGCTTTCAAAGAATGGCAATTGTTTAATAATCTTTAACTGAAATACTTCTACCAAAGTCTCTACGTAACACAGAAATCTGCGTTGCCTTCAGTTCAGTGCCCTCCTCATTTTCTTTTAATTCAGCCTCTCATTCAACTGGTAACACTGATCTCTCAAGAAACAGTAGATATGACAAGGTTTCACGTGAACAAATGCAGAAACCTTCTCCTGCATTTTCCTCTTCATTTAAGTCATATGCTCATTCACTGTCTGTGAAGTTTCTATTTTCTTTCTGCATTCTGCTTTCAGGAATACCTCGAAAAAAAAAATTCTTCCATCTTCTCCTGCTACAGAGGCTGAAAACTTTTTCACTTTCCCATTTCACGCAGACATTGTTGACGTTTGGCTATGACAGATTTTCGTCACACTTCAGACAGAAGCCAGAAATCTTGTAGCCCCACCATAGCTTCAACTTTCTGGCAGATGTCTGGCCTTCGCTCTTTGGGTCTTCAGAACTGGTGCAGAGCAGGGAGAAATCCCACAGGATAGAGCAGCTCTTCCTCTCCAAGGCTTATCATCTCTTTGGTGCTATCAGAGAAGATGGATAACATGGCCCAAACAAAAAAGAATTTGTATACAGAGTGAAGAAGAGACACTGTCACATCAAAAAAGGCTGTCGTTTTTCTTGTAAACTTTCTATTTGAGTGGTTGTTTATTTATGGCCATCCAGAAGCAGGGAAATAAATACCTCTCAGTGGAAGAAATCAGCTACCTACATACAGCCTCAGACCTTTTACTCCCTTTTGAGGACAACAGTTCTGTGGTTTTCCTGAGTGCTTTTGTTGCAACATATCCAAATTTCCAGTACTTGGTGAGTTAAAAATGCATTATTCAATGCCTTGAATCATGGAGAAGACTGGACTAGATGAGGATCTACTCCCAGACAATGTAGTTGGCTGTAGAGGGTACTTCATAAAACTTAAGCAACTTGAAATATAGGAAAGCATAATACAACATTTTGAACCTATGCTTTACCTTAAAAAACAACAACAAAAAAAAAAACAACAGATAATGTGTACACCTATATTCTAGCATGTCAATGCTGAAACATACAACGAGCATCAAAAAATAACCAAAAGACAGTCTAAGATATAAAACCCACAAGCAGACTCTTACGACAAAGAATTCTCGTATTTCCAGTAGGTATGTATTTGCCACCCATGTTGTCTTTTACTTCTGTCTTCTCTGAAAGTGTCTCTGTCTCCATCTGTTCCCACAGAGCAGGTCAGATTATATAGTTTAAACCCTGCAATGTTTACTGCAGCCAGTCAGATCAGACAGCATGACCGGAAAGATAAAATACAGTAGAGCCTGAAAAGCAAGCATCTGAATGGAAGTGCCTGTGAATATTTATGGCTCACAAAACTTGAGTGATGAGACACTAAAGGAACAAGACTATCATGACCTTGGCACAAGGCAAGGAGAGAGATGCTGATTCAGGCCACCTGAACAATGTGGTGAATGTGGAAATCCATTAATGAGAGACAGTTTGCTTGGAAAGTATAATAAAAAGCAGATTCATAGAAATAATCACTATACACATTTCTTTTCCACTGACTAAATTAAAAAACAAACAAACAAAAAAGCCCCCATGATTTTAGCGAGACTGAAAATTGCAAGTGGTTTTTCATGTAAGAGTAATTTAATATTACCATAGATAAAATTCATGTTGCTGCTTGAACATGCTTCTCAGCACCACAGATGTTAAATGCATAGACTGTGCAGGACAAATCCTTGCACAAACCCACAGTTTCATCTGACTGTGCCGTATATATCAGATTGTCTGCTTCTGAATGCTTTTAAAGTTGCTTCTCTCTGCCTTACTGTTCTGGATTTCACTTCTTGTTTTCCCCATCAACTTTTTTTTTTTTTTTTTTTTTTTTTTTTTGGTTGAAGATTAGGAAAAAAAAAAAATCTTTGCCTCCTCCTGTAGCTGTTACCAATATCTGCAGTGTTACTTAGGAAAATAAGCGTCATTGTTCAGATTTTATTTTACAATCTCAATCTTAATATTCTGCAGTACAATAAAATATAACATAAAAGTAACCCAAGACAGAATGGCAAAATGCATGAATTTTATGGCATAAAGAGAACTGCTTTTGCCCAGGACTAAGAACTGAAACACACATTTCATGGGTTTTTAAAGTTTTATAGGTCAGTTATGCACATTGTGGGTTTTTTTATTTTCTATTTTTTTAATGCCTACTGCAGCACAAGAAGAAATGAGAACAATTTATCTCAGCAGCACACTCTGGTAACCTTCTCAGGAAAGCCTTGTTCTGCACGGCATGAGGTGGTTAAAGCAGAGCTGAGCTGGGACCTTCTACTATTTCTGGAGGGGGTCAGGTAATGCAGAGTCACTCTGGGGTGCAGCTTCCAGTCCTGTATTGACTGCACAATGAGGTGTGGGATCTGATCAACTACCAGTGTTTCTCTGGCTCCTTGTAACGTGCACTTTTCTCCACTATCATTTTTGTCTTGTATTGTATTCAGGCTAGCAGTTCTGCATATAGCTTTGGAACCCTGTCTTTACATGAACAGTAGAAGTTCATTAAAAATTTAAGTTCAATATCTACACTGTGATACACTGAGAAGATTTTCTACTCTTGTCTGAATATTTATTGGAGAGCACTTGGTCCTGATGCTGATTTGCATTAGTTTGATCTGTACAGTTAAATTTTATAATATGTGACAGTTATTTGCCTGCACTGTATAAATTGCATTATACTCATTGTGCAGACTGAAGATAAACTGTCTCTATACTGAATACCATCTAGGGGAAAAATGAATTCCAAAATGTGCTGTATAATTCTATCCACTCTGTCTATTGTGTAAGGCTTTCTTTGAGCAGAAATGCAGATTAATGTGCATAAATACCACTCACACAAACACATAGTTTAACAGGTATAAGCTAGAGAAAAACGATTACAGAGCAATTGTGATAAACATTTTTGCAGGTTTGATAACAAATGCAAAAGGATCATAAAACAGTCATCTGTAGCTGTAAGACATACTTGGCTTGCACACTTTTTGCCATTCATTATCAGCCCTGTTGTAGCTGCCCTGCTACAACACACCAAGGAGCATGTGGCATTTGCTGGTTCTTTCTACATCTTTATAAATAGAGTTTATAGTGATTTTTTACTCCAACAAGAAAAATGTTAATGCAATTGACGTATTCCAATTTCTGTACTTTTTAATCACCTCCAAACATAGCACCCAGGGGAAAAAAATGACAACAGAACTATATTAGCAAGAAAGAGTCAGTGATAGTACCTATAGAAACAGGATGGCCTACTAAAGATATTTCAAGGCTAGATTTACATTTCTACAGGCATCCAATTCAGAGAGAACAATGCAAAGACAAACAGCTTGTATCACCTGTATCCCTGTAGAGTCATGACTGCTCAGTGCATCACCGCTGTCCAGGCTCTCTATGGTCTATGTATGTGCCCGTAAACAAAACCGCCATTTTCACCCTTTTTTCAATATAAAAAAAGTCTGAGAATATCTAATGGAGATGTGCCACAGCCTGCTTTTATGGAATTAAGCATTTATGGTGCAATGTAAAAGTGTATATTTGATGCTATGGGACATTTGGGGACACAAACTTGGTGACTTAGTCAATAGGATGCTTTAGGAGATCTCTGTAGGACAAAAAAAATGACATGGATATTTGTACTAGTGATGATGAAAGAGACACCTTAAGAATTGCCCAGAATCTCACATGAGAACAACTAGTTAGATAGCACCAAAAAAACAAAGAAGACATGAGTATGTAGTATGTAAAACTGATGACCTATTCAAAAGAACACTAAAGAAAGCAAAGCATGCACCATTGCTCAATCCACTAAAGGAAGTGATTACAAGTCAGGTGCTGATAATACCACTGCCTGACTCAAGGGCAATTCAAGGTTTCAAGCATGCTCTTGGGCATGAGGAAGAAAGCCTAAAAGGACTACAGTTCCAAGTCGGGTCTGACTGCAGCCTGGCTGGGTTGTGGCCATATTGTTGGCCTGCACATTGCCTGTGTGACCACGTCACACCAGGAGGACTACGCCAACTGAAATATCATGGGTCACCCTCAACTGAAGGAAATACGAGAAAAACAAAGCCAAAGGGCACATTTCCTTTCTAGTCCTTTCTAATGTGTTACTTTGCAGCCCCAATTCTGACTGCTGGAAGACCTGCAGAGTTATAAAGTTGTAACTTGTTCGACTTGCTCTGCATGTAACATATTTTA